CGGGTGCGCGGTATACGCCGAATATAAAAAATTATAGATTAAAAAAATTGAAATATAGAAAAATACTTTTATTTTAAAGAAATAACATACCTTTACCTATATACTTTATTGATTTTCGTTATTACATATAAATAGTTCATTATATCCGCCTTCCGTTATTTCTTCAGGCACGTCATCACAATCTGTTTCGTCTTCATCATCTGTGTTACCCTCATCCATAAATAAACAGTCATCTTCTGATCCGTCCAGATTATTTGAAATGCTGCATTTTTTGAATGATTTTCTAACCATCTCAGGCTTAATTTCATCCCATGCTTTTAATATCCATTCGCACACTGTTTCCAAACTTGCATGACGCATATGTCCTCCTTATGTAAAGGTTTTCTCGCCCTCCAACATCTAAGTGCTCCACTGTTTTTCTTAAATTGGCTTTAAATGGCTTGTTTAAGCAGACGTCCAATGGCTGAACTAATGGTGTCAATCCGCCCAGGATAACTGCCATATCGGTGTTACATTCTTTCAACAATTTTTTTGTATTATCTGTAAGATGGGACCTAAACATGTCCCACACTAAAAGGCTTTCTGGTTTTCTATTGATATTAGACGAGATATTGCACATGTACAATCCAAATTTTCGTGCGCGTTATACGAAGAGTATATCTTGAAATTTAAAAAAAGTTATTACAAATTACGGGTGCGCGTTATACGCCGGAATATACGGTAGGTTACATCATACTAAACAGTTAAAAACATTAAGCCCATCAGGTCTTTAAATCCAAATACAATAAAGAGCAAAAACTTATAGATATGAACAAAAGATACGAATAATTAAGAATTTCATAAACACATCTGATTTTATTTTATCAGTCACAAATAAGAATTCTTGAAATGGGTAATCATGTGTTTTTTCAAAGAAGATTTTAGTGCAAAACATTTCATACAACATTTACACTGAAAAGGTTTTTCTCCAGTATGAGTTCTAATATGCCTTGTAAGATCAGTCTTTAATATGGTAGAATAGGAGCAAAATGAACATTGGTGCATTCCACTTTTTCTATGCGAGGCTGAAAAAATGATCAAAAGTAAATATTTTGTTTATTTGTTCCTTTTATATAAAATTATTTTTCAGTGTTAATTATGCATTCATGAAAAGCTTTACAGTTTCATACATAGATTAAATGTAAAACCTGCTAAATATATTTTTTTGAATGAATGCAAAAAAAAAATTAAACTAAGATAAATTTAATAGTATGCAAATTTTCAAACTATAACATGTATTTCCAAATTATAACATAGTCAGACCTAGATAAAATAAAAAAACTTTCTTCGAAGACAACATTTCAATTAAAACTCTCACAGTCAAGCATAATAAAAAAATGTATGCAAACATTTCACTGCATACATTGTTTTTTTTTTATTCAGCAAAAACATTTTGCTACACATAAAAATAATTGAGACCCATCCTGAACTCAATTCAGAACTGACAGTGGTAGTGCAGATTATGATATAAGTAACTATGGTTAATTCAAACTAAGCACTGTCTTCTCCTGAAAAATTTATTTTTAAAGTTTACATAAATCAGAATTTAACAATTTAATTGTAAGAAGAATTCAACAAACAACCAAATTTATTTTAGGAACAAAAGAACAATACTTTTTAATAGTCTCTCTTTAAATTTTAAATGTATTTTTTATAAAAAGATTAAAATGGCTATTGAAGAATAATTTTCTATTAAGTATGTAAATAATAAACTCAGAAGGAATCAATAGGAGGCAGATTATTATACGTCACTTTCAGGAGGCTAACCTTGCCAATTTCAGTGCTAAAAGTTTTACTTTACAAACAAAAGTAAAGCTGGTATAAAAAAATTATAACAAAAATACAAAAAGCAAGCGAAGATATTTGCATTCTGAAAATCAACATTTAGCTTGATGCTCATTAGCAAAATTTCATAGCTGCCAACTTGTTAAAAATAAAAACACAAAGCATGATAAGCCAATCAGGAGTAATTGCGATACCAAGTTGAAAACCCTGAAAGCTTTATGTGCCAAAAATCAATATCTACATATCAGTTTATAAACCAAACATTTTTCGTATTTAACATAATTTTTTGAACATTTTTAATTAAATCATTTACTAAGGAAGAATATCACATCTTTATAGTAACTAATTCAAGAAAAAACTTACTGATTCTTACAAGAATCGCGAAATTGGATTTTAAAAATGTGAAAATACAAATTGCGACCTTGCATTTTTAAATTCCGTAAATAGGAATCACGATGTACGATTTTTTAAATACGAAAATTGATGATTGATATTACAAGTGCGTTAATACTAATTGGAATATTGGATTTTTGAATCGCATCAATAGGAACTGCGATTTTTAAATCGCGTGAATAAGAATAGCAGAATCAAAATATCTAATATTCATATGTATGTAAACTAATGGGATTTAGTAAAAGTTTTGCAATTTTGCCGTATTATTAGATTTTAATTCATGGAAGTTTGCGAACCAATGGTCCTTGAGATATGAGGAATTCTGCGATATTCGCAGAAAATTCACATGCCCTGCTTTCTAGTTTTTAGACCCGCCTGTGTGAAAAGAAAATCAGTATAAGGAGTGAAAAGGCACTAGAATACCGAAAAATCAGAGCATCTGTATCTAAAATCGTATTTTCAATACAAAGTTAAAAAATCAGAACAGTTGGTTGCTATGAAATTTTACTGTCAAACAGAGCACTGCTTTTCTAAACAAGTCATGGAGAAAGTCATAACACACTTCACATATACAAGACTTAAACGGCATCCACAATTCACAGCAGATCATGAACAAGGATCCCTCATATGAATAATTACATGTCTTAAGAGTACAGATTTCTGAGTGAAACATTTATTGCAAGTGTCACACTGAAAAGGTTTCTCCCCAGTGTGAGTTCTCATGTGTCTTGTTACATCCATTTTTCTATAGGTTGCATAACTACAGAAAGTGCACTGGTGCATCTTTCTTTGCTTCAAGGCATCTGAAAAATAAAACAAAAAATGTAGCCAAGTAGTATTATTTTGTGTTGAATATATATTTGACACATTATTTTTACGTAGTGCCTTGTTAAATCAATGGGGCACCAAATTAATCTTATGAAGTGCCTCACTGATAAAAACTCTCTAATGCAAGACAAACCATGTGGCATGAATGTTTTAATGCCAATCAACATAAATTTAAGCAAATTTAATGTATATCTCATATTACAATAATAAGTTTCGTCACATTTTGTAAAATATTTTAGCAAATAGTACATTCATAATAAACACATTGAAATTTTAAAGAAAATTTCTACCAAAGATAAAAATGAAGTCATCAAGGTTATAAAAGTTAGTTTTAATAAAAAACACTAAATGCATCAATTGAATGATTAACATTGTGAAAAGCAAGGATGATAATTTTAAATGTCATTCAAAGGTAAATTGAGAAAAGAATCAAGAAAATCTTAACAGAGGATTACATAACATCATCAAGAAAAAGAAATTCAGTCCAGTTCATTTAACAGATCCGATTAAGTACAGAAGAATATAGTTCTGACTTACCTCATTCCCAAAGATATTGAATTCAAACAAGTGATTCTCCATGCTAGAGTCAGGGAAGAACCGCTGAAGATTCTAAGAATGCTAGTTGATCAGTTTTTTTACGCAGTGGAATCCGGATTTAAAATTTTTCTTTTTGTACATTATCCCTCTCAATCGTTTACTGCTGGTTTTTGAAATTCACCTTTACCAGTAACATTAAAAAGATTTTACGTCATACCCTATCACAAAAACCAGCTTAATATATTTTTCTCAATTTCTGTTGGACGATTTCAACAAATTCCAACCTTCAAATCTAGGAATCATCTGGTCAATTAAAGAGCATTACATGACACAACCAGTTCAGAAATCACTTTTTCTTGATTCCAGTGGCCAGAGAAAATGTTCCTGTTACAAATTTGCCTTTGACCGAATGTGACAGACATCCAAATGCTTCACAAATTCCTTTGAGGTCTCATTTAATGCCCGCTCGTGATAATGATGGTGAAAATGAACTGATTATGAACCCACAGCTGATTAAGGGATTCAAATGTGTAAAAACTCTGAAACAATCTTTATATTTGAATGCAAAAAAAAAATAATAATAATAATAAATAAACAAATTTACGAAACATTGTTAGTATTAAACAAGCTATTGTTGAAGTTGTATCTAAAAGCAAAAAGGCTAAACATTAAATATTACACATTTTTTTTCTCAATAGTTTATCAGGTATTCACTTTTGCTAAGTATGTTTAGATTATTTTTATTCAGATTTTATGTTTTCCCGCTGCGTTTTTTTTTACGGCTGGTCTGAGGGAAAACACGAAATCGAGGATCTACTATTTATCAACTTTACAGAATTCTGTTCTAATATTTACAGGTTTGATCCACCAATATGTTATATTTATATAGTTACAGTTATAGTAACAACTTTAATTATTTTTTTGGGAACATTTTCTTAATTAGAACAAATGCACATTTAAAAGGAAACAATAAAATAAACTCTTTCTCTCTTCCCAAATCAACCTTTTAGGTAATTTAGTTGTCCATAACAGTAATTTTCTCCCTATGATTTATTGGAAAAACATTTTTTAATATTAAAAATAGAGAAATAACTGGTTATCTAAAAAAAAGTTTGAATAAATCCATGGCATACTAGAAATCACAACATTTAATAAAAAAAATCATAAATAACATTTCAAATAACACACAGGAAGAGAAATATTAAATGTTACTTCAAGTGAGTGAACATATGGCTTTTCATAGCAGACTTTTGGTTAAAACATTTTTTGCAAGTGTTACATTGAAAAGGTTTTTCACCAGTATGTATTCTGATATGCCTGGTTAGGTTTGTCTTCAAAACAGTGGAATAGGGACACAGAAAACAATGAAATCTTCTACTTCTTGTGGAAATATCTAAAAAAAAAATAAAGAAAACTATTAAAAAAATCTAATCATCAAATTTTTATAAGTAAGGGGAAACACATTTCATATATTTTATTAATAAATAGACATTTGCTTAAAAATGTTAAACATTGGAATGTGGCAAAGCTAACTTTAATTAAATTTACTGAGAAGAAAAAAAATTTTTATTAAAAAAAATTAGGAAAGCACCCATATTCTATATGACATGAAAATAAATCAACAAAAATGCAGTGGAAAAAGTAACCAACATTACTTAACTCACAAGAGTATCAAAAGACAAAACACATATTTATAACAAATAGGGTCCATAAACTTTTTTTTAAGTATTAAAGCACATATTTTCAGTCAAATTTTTAAATACACAGCAGACTCCTAACTATCTAAGACATCATTACATTATAAGATAAACATCATTCCAACTTTTGGGAAAAAAATATGAAGGGGACAAACTAAGATTTAATAAAACACTCTGACAGATTCTTTATTTAAATTATTTTTCTATAATAGAGTTTTTAACGTTTAATCAATCAACAACATCAATTGTGCCAATCAACTGATATTTCTAACCAAAATTCTTATGTCTTGAGTAAAATTTTGTTTACACCTGTTTGGGTGAGCACACAGTTTGTTACGAAGGTAATTAAATGCAGCGTCATACCATTTTAAGCTTAAATAATTTTTTAATTTAATACTATAACTCAAATAAGCTTTTGTCAGTTCAAAAAAAAAATAAATAATAATAAATAAATAAATAAACTTTCAAAAATATAAAAACAGTATTAACAGTATCTAAAAACAGTATGATGTTCTTAAACAATAGCCTAAATTGTTAGGCAAACAATTTTAATGCTTTCAATTTTTGAGAAAAAATTTACAGAAGTTCTAAAATGAGTCATTTTTGTAATATGACAACTATATTTGAATTTGTAAATTTTAAGGACACATGACTTTCAGACAAACAAGCATCATAAAAGCTGTAGTCATCACAAAGCCATATGAGCGGTGAATTTACCAATATGCATATTTCTTGAGCAGAATTCCATCGTGACAATAGCGCTCTAGTGATACAAATAGTCTTAACACAACAATAAGATGTACTATGAATGTTTGTATGCTTGATGCTTCGAAATGACAACGAAAAAGAGTTGATAATAAGCAACATACTAATGAAAGAAAATGAATTGTCTTAGAGGCAGTCAAATCCATTTATTTGAAAACATGAACAAGTTTTGTTTCAAACAGGCATGAGAGTGGGGAAAGAATAAAAAAAAGTTTTCTTTTTAAAATGTTTTTCGTTTCTTTAAAACATCATATTAAACCACATTATTCAATTTTATTCATTCCAAATGTGTACTTTTAAAACTATCTAACAAGTAAATCTAAATAAATAAAGACACAATTTAAGTATAAAGTAATTATTATATAGAATCATTCATTAAATTAATTTTAGGGCTAAAATGTAGTATGCCAAGTTTTGGTGACAATGTTGTTTCTTTCTATCATTGTTTAATTACATTGCATTTTTTTTTACTCTCTATAATACTTCAAAAAAAAATAAAATCTTTAATATTTTTTTTAAAATTCAGTAGCTTGTTTTGAATTATTTTAGAACAGAAAATACATTTGCTTGAATTATTTTAGTAGTTAAAATACATCTTAAGAGAAGTGGGGTTAGTTTATGAAAGATTATTACAAAACTGTTCGTTAAAAAGTATTAATATTACTTTTTATGGAATAGTTTTGATATAAATAATATTTAACATTTAATTATAAATTCTTTGGTTAAATCGTCAGATCTTTTTAAATTAAAATCGCACTATAATTGCTCTTTTTTAATTGCAATAATGCAGGAATAAAAATTTATAATACTGGCAGTGGTATTGAAGCTGATTAACCTTGTCATCACATGTGTAAATATGGGGAAATGTGACGACGTATTCTGTTTGTATTACAGCTCTATGGATAATTCACACACTTTTATTCTTATAATTTGACCTAAAAATCTGTTGAGGAAAATCAATAAAAGAATGAGGCGTTCAACTTTCTCAAATGCTTTAAAAATAAGATCATACTAATAAAAACGATTTTATTACCATAGAAATAGCTTATGTTAACACTATCTCCTTCTAAAATTTACTTTCACAAGAAAAGGTTTTTTTATTTTTAATTTCATTATTAATCTTCACTGATTTGAACAAAGCTATCCACGTATATTTACATTTAGTAAGCAAAATATCACAAATAATGTTTAGCTTTTAGAAGAGTTAGTAAAATAAAATAAATAAATTAATCTTAATGCTCCAGAAGCTTTTAGCTTTCCTCTATTGCCTGTAAAAATACAAAACTCAAATCTACCGGAAAAGTTAACTCAACTCAATCGTCACACGACACAATTTTCTCTCCGCACAAACAGAGGGAGCATATGCCAGACGAGACTATGATGTTGGGGACTAAGAGATAAGGGGAAATATAACAATGAACTTGCTCTATTTGTAATACAGCTCTATGTATAAAATTGTATATGCTTAAATATTAATATTTAAGCGAGGTTTAAAACCTGATGAATTATTATTAAGATTGCTTTAGCTAAGATGTAATAGATTTTGAAAGCTTAATTTTCCCTTTGTTAATTGACATATTAAATTGTTAAAAGTTTAAGTTTTTTTCCACACTTCATAATTTGCAACACCAGATGGTCGTACAACTATTTTGACAGAGATTTTAAATGTATATACTAAGGACGGTAATTATAGAATATTTTGCGCATACATCTGAAATCTCCATGATATGTAATTCACAAAAAGTGTTCACTAAGGTTTAGACACATAAAATATACAGTGTAACGTCCCATATCCGGACGTCCCTTTTACGGAAGGGTCGATTTCCCGGACACTTTTTAACAATCAAAATAAACAAAAATTTCTTCATCTTCCCCTCTCCTTTAAAAAAAATAATAAAAAAAAACGAAGTCTTTTGACAGGTTTTTCCCCTTCTCAGCTTCTAGAGATCTATGCATTGAACCCATAAATCAACAGAAAAGAGAACAGAAGATCTACTAAGACCATGACCCATGACCTCTGGAACCCAGGAAAGGGTGGGGGAGATTTGTTTTCAAAAGAGCACAACTGAGTCACCTCCCTCCCCCTTCTTTCCTATGCAGCTGGTTAGTAAAAGAGGCATTTCCTGGAACCTTTTCATTTGAGTGTCAGGGGAAGAAGAAATACTGTGAAATAGGATAAACACAGCAAATGTTAAAGTGGAGGGGGAATCCCCTTTAGTCACACAAGAAAAAATAAAGAGAACCCAATCAGCATGCCACGCCTTTATGCTTGATTGATAGCCAATGATGGGAGAGAAAATAAGAATTTGTCCCTACCCCGTCCTCAACTTGAATGACAAGTAAGGAGAAAATGAATTTTTCTTCTCCACCTACCCACCTTACTGAATGACGGGAATTTCCCCTTCTTGCTTGAATCGTTCTAGTCCAAAATGGCGGAGAGAGCAATTAATATTTTCATAACTGTGAATTTTTTTCGTTTTCTATATTTATTTTTAGAATAGCAATAATTATTTTTTTTCTAATATTTTGTTTATGATAGATTAGATATCATTCTAATACTAAAACATTATTGCCGAAAAATAATGTTTATTTTCTGCTTCTTAGATTCAGATCATTTTAAGCTTTGTTTACCTTGGAGGTCAATTATACGGAAAAATCAAATATACGGACTTCCGGAAGTCCCGCCGATTCCGGATACGCGACTTTCCACTGTATAGCTAAAAAAACCAATATTTGATTAAAAATAAGCAAAATAATTTAATAATTCAAAAAATATTTAATAGCTCTTAATTAAAATATAGATCATATCCAGTGAATATAGAGAATGCAAAAGCAGGTAAATATTTTAATCACACAATCAACTCTACGAATAAATTTCAAAAATTATAATCAAAATGAATGAATAAAATATATGTCAACTCAACATTTCGAATCGAATTTCGTAAATACAATACGTATAGGCATAAGTAATTTTATAAGTTTAAGAAAATATACTAATTCCAGTTTTGTAAACATCTAAAACGATGACGTTTCAGTTCATCTGAACGTGAAAAAGTCTTCCCACACTTCGTACAATTATGAGGTTTTTCTTGAAAGTGCTTGGATTGCATATGTCTATTCACGTGACCTTTCCGTATACTGGTATAACTGCACAACTGGCATAGAAATATTCTTTCCTTAGTTATAAACCCTGTAAAAAATAAAAGAATACATCAACTCTGAAGATATTATTTACGTAACAGGAGTTGAAACTAAGAAAACTTAGCAACTTGTCCCTGAACAAGTCGGTATATATTTTCACAGACGCGTTTACAAGTCTCTATTAAATTTTTTGTAAAACGAAATGTAATAAGGTAAATTAATATAAAAAAAGTACCATACAACTGTTGAGTAATATTTACAACACAGACAAAAACATGATACTGCAAATAAAAAAAAAATCAGCATACGATCCTTTACATCCATTGCTGGTTCAGGAACCACGGATAATTTTTTTAAGGTGCTCTGAGTTTAATTTTGAATGATACCAGACTGATGGAGCACAGAACCATGCATAGTATTAACACATGCAATATAGTACAATGTGAAGGAAATTTTTAAATAAAAAATAAGATGTTCAAAGATAAACAGGAATTTGATAATTATGATTGAATATTTGTCCAAATTGTAATCTAAGAATAAAATTGCAACTGTAATCCAAATTGTAATTTTCATGAACATAAACTGTGCATGAAAATTACATAAATTGCATTATTTAAGAAATAATAAATGCATTGGTTCTTAAGAAAGTAGCAATAACATAGATAAAAAACATTTTAATGAATTTACAAATAAAATTGCATTCTATTCCTTAAATACAAACCATTGGTGGATCTCTTATTATAGGCTAAATAGGCTCAAGCTCAACTTCTCCCTTCAAAAAAGGGACCAAGCACTATGAAATAAGTATAACAAAAATAATTGCGATATTTAAAAATCATAAATATTCCCCTTGCTGTCAGGCTAACCGTGGGAGGTTTTCCTCCCCATGGTCAAATTATGAGTTTTTGATTCGTCCACAAACCAACAGTCTTGAGACACACGGAATTCTGCTATATTCACGGAACAATCACAAGCCCTGTTTCTAGTTATTAGACCCCAAAGAATGATAAGAAAAATCTGGAATTCCAGGGTACAATCAAATATAATCCCTCCCTGCTTTAAGCAATAAAATGTGCACACAGATAAATTTTCGACAATATTTTTAGCACAATGTTGGCAACTTCAATGGATTGTCTTCAGATGATCGATTTTTGAAAACAATAACTATAAAGTAAAAAATATATAATATAAAATGAATAACACTTGCAATTCTTTTGAGGTTAGACAGACTTCTTTTTGTGATGAAGAACCCTTTTATGTCTGTATAAGGCAGATGTTTGGGCAAAACTTCTACTACAGTAAGAACATTGAAAAGGCTTTTCACCAGTGTGAACTCTGATATGCCTGGTCAAAAATGTTCTGTAAATTGATGTGTAGCTGCATGTATTACACTTAAATATTTTTGGAAAAAATGCTGTCTGGGAAAAGGCTGAAATAATAAAAGACAATGAGTAACAAAAATATATGTCATGTAATCTACTATGTCTAAGTAAGTTATTTTAATTAAAAAATGTTTTCCTTTTTTTAAAAGTAAAAAAATTTTAAGTAAAATTTCAGTTCATTATTTAATGTAATAAAAGTATAAGTAGAATGAAATAATTTTCTACATATTATAGCCATTTTTATAAGATTTAATTTCAGTTTAATCACAAGAAAAAAAATACTATTTATAAATTATCAACAATAAAATTTATATGTAGTAATAAGGAAGTGTAATATAATGTTTTTAAATTAATATTTTTTTAAAATCTTTTACACCTTTACAGATTTTAGTTATTTGTTTCAATAAGAAGCATTTCAAATAAAAAGATATTTTTAAGGCTAAAATAAAAACTTATTAGTGAACNTATGTAGTAATAAGGAAGTGTAATATAATGTTTTTAAATTAATATTTTTTTTAAATCTTTTACACCTTTACAGATTTTAGTTATTTGTTTCAATAAGAAGCATTTCAAATAAAAAGATATTTTAAGGCTAAAATAAAAACTTATTAGTGAAATGTTATTATAGAATGCATTTATTTCATGCAATAACTACAATGGATTAGGATTTTCAGACATTTTATTTTAAAGTTAATAATTATATCAAAAAGTAATTATATCGAAGCACACACTATTTTGTAAGCACTTGAAAGTAGAGTCAATCTGCATATCATTCACAGAAAAATAAATAACATCAAACATAATAAGTTAAATAAATATACTACACTTTGTGTAACATTATGGAAGAAGCTAGATTACATAATTTTGCAGCAAGAAACTAGTTTTTAATATAAAACATAATACTGAATTTTAAAAATTATCAGTAAAAATTTACAGTTGTGAGCTTTTGTAATAATTACATAATTTCAGCTAACTTTCACTGCAATTTTAAAATATTACATCATATTCATAACATCCAATGATGATGAGTTACAAATCTGTTTCATTTTATGACCCTGACAAGTTCAACTTTAAGTCAAAAGGATAATATTATTACGCCACTCCCAAAGTTAAGAAACAATGAAATTCCTATCATTCGTAATATTTCAAAAACAAATTTTAAAATGATATTTTTAACTAAAATGAATTAATTTGTCTTAAAGATAATCTAACATATTAATTATTTTTTATTTTAATCAAAATGAATAATGAATCAAAATGAAATAATATTACAATAAATGTGAGCAACATACTATAATAGTCAATGTCCATAAAGAATGGATTTACATTTGTCACTTTATCAATCCACTGGAGGTTTAGCATATGGGCAAAATTGGGAGAATGTTTTTCTCCAATACAATGATTCCCTACTTCATAACATGGAAAAACCGGTTTTGCATGTGGAGGAGACTGCAGGTTAAATTAAGACTTTTTACGTGCAGAACCGTTAGTGGGCTAAACAGAGCAAAGCTGGTGCAAAATGTAGTTCACCTAATAATACAGTACAGTATGAAAAATGTCCTTCAGATGAAAATAAATGTTTATTGTATACATTTGGCTGTCGATAGCAATCTCTGTAATTATTTCTTGTTTATCACATACCATTTTACTAAAATCCACTTTAAAAGCTTAGTGACTTTATATATTTTAGCAGAACACAATAGCGACTTATAAACAAAAGAAAGGTGCCTCCATTTACAGTGGGAAAGTCACCAACTTATGAACATTTTGATAACAAAAACCTTGTTTGCAAACTAAGGCTTAAGATGCATTAATGAAGAGAGATAAATAAAAATTCCCTAGAAACTTTTCCAAACAAAAAAATAATGACACATGTTGGATTATTCTAGTTTTGATACATGAATCAGACACCTTTTATTTATACAAAATCATATAGTTTCATCTAAAAGACTGAAAAAAAAGCTTAAATTTGTTGTTAATATTGAGACAATATGTTCAATACTGATCTCATTGAAAAATGCGACAAAAATTAATAAATAACTTAGATAATGCACATAATAATGAACAATGAATCATGTAAGATATCCTCAACACTCAAGTTTCTTTAATGGTTAACAAAACAGATGAATCTACTTAAAATTTTGAAGACATGACTTAATATTTACATACTTTCCATATCCATTATCTAGAATAGGCTTAATAGAGAACTAGATAAATGAACAACTTTAGAAAGAAAAAACTCACACGCATGCTGAAAATCGCCTTCAATACGATAATTGTAACTTGCAATAAGCAATCTTAGCTGGAGAAAAAAAATAGCATGATCTATACAATTCCGATAAAAAGTCTCCTACCAATCAATAATAATAAAAACTGAATGTTCTGCAATCTTTGCTATAGTTGAGAATACATGGAGCTAACTGGAACAAGCTGGTAAGATACCTCTTGTAATCCTTTTTCAAGCAGTAAATGTATTTTTTTAAATTAGGAAAATGTCTCGTTCTGCTTGTTCAGATCTCTTCATATGAAGTTTAATAGCATCCATTGTCCATACATTTAGTAATCTACATGTCATTTTGTCTACATAAATCTGCATTAAAAGTTCTTCAAACTTGCATGCTTCACAGCAAAACAAACAAGTTTCACCTATTCGGTTCTATATCAGCATGTACAGGAGGAACATTTTCAGAAGTTACCCCTTGTGTGAAAATTAGAAGATTTTAAGTAACAAATAATAAATTAATCATAGACCGACCAAACATTTTCCTGATGCAATTGGCTCACAGACCCTGGTTTTTAAAATGGACAACAATATGACTCTTAAGAGAAGACTTCTGAGCAAAACTCTTGTAACACGTGGTACATTGGAAAGGTTTTTCTCCAGTATGAGTTCTGATGTGTCTGGTCAAATCAGTTTTTAAAATAGTTGAATAGGAGCAATATGTGCACTGATGTACCTTGCCTTTCTTTAAAGCTGCTGAAAAATTAAAACAGACATTAAAAACAGATTATGGTTCTTGCATTTCATGCTGCTAAACAAAATTAACAATAAATTTAAATAATGTACAGTTAATAACTCTGCATTGTTTGATTCAAATGGAAAAAAATGAATTGACAAGTGTTACAGACAACACAACTGCATTATGTTGCTATCGAAAATTAGTAGTACAGTGAAAATCATTTGGGATTTAACATAAAGGACACCATCGGCATAAGGACCTATAACTTCAGAAAGCCTGGGGGGGAGGGGGTAATAAAACAAAGCACGCCCCTGTTTCCAATTGGAAATTTTAATAAATGATAATTTATTAAAATTTTGATTTTGAAATTTTAACATTTTTTAAAAATATTTCTAAAAAAAAGCTAGCTTATGATGAAAATTGTAGAAATTTTTTAGATTTTGCTTTTGGAGATAACAATCAGGCAAAGTAACAGCCCAAGTTGAAAAGATGCATAAAAGCCCTTAAATCTTGTCTGAGGCACAACCAAGTAATTTACTAAATTTAAAAATAAAAAAAAAGAAGCGTGGAATGAAAATTGTTTTGGTAACGGCAACATGTTCCATGTGACCCGAGTAAACACGTTTAGCGATGCAATAAGGTGAATGAACAATTCCCATTCATTTTTAGGCAATTAAACAGAAAGTTTGCATTTTAATAGCATTTTAGAGTAACTAGTTACAGCTTTTGGAACCATTAGAAAAACAAAGGTTTACTGACCTGAGAATTGTTATAAAGTTTTTCAGCATGGCAGAAAGAGTTTATAGCAATAATACAAACCTGGACTAAATACACACTTTCTCTATATCTGTCACACACTAATTATTTATTAGTAAAAATCTCATGTTTTTTTTTTCTTTTTGAAAAATGCATGTTTTAAAACAGGTTGGAGCAGATAAAGTGAATTATGGACTTGGTGCAAGTGCAAAAATCACGTAATTTAAAAAAAGTGTTTACCTTGCAATAAGTTCAAAAAAATTATTGTGTACCTAAACATAATTGTGACATAAGGCAGGTTTGACTGTAAACATAAAATGAAAGCAGCATTAAAAATTAAAAAATTTTTGTGTGTTATGGAACAAACATTACAATTGAGATTAACACAAATTTATTAAGAGAGAAAATAAATTATTTCCATGAGCAGTATAGTAAAATATATAATTTGTTATTCAATAATAAAAAGTAATAAAACATAAGTAGAAACATAATTTACTTTTGTCTTTAATGCACTGTTCCATGGACAATTATATAGTTTTGATAATTGCAATGTTTTTAATTGCCATGTCAATTTAAAATTGCAATGTTTTATTGTCAATTAAATTTTTTTCAATACACTTGAAAAATGGGTAAATTTTTATATAATAGTAATAGGTAAATAGGAAAAAGTGCAATATCAATGAAAAAAAAAACAGCAACACATATAGAGCATCTAGTACTTGGAAAATAGATAATTCTAGCACCCAAAATTACATTAAAACAGATATACAGGGGTTTTTAAATCACCACCCTTTACATAAATTAAAATCTTTATTAAAAATTAATTTAAAAATATATGCATAGTAAATGTTTAAAAATATGAACTTGTATTAATCTGATGAAGTATTAATGAGGAAAACAAGATTAAAAACATCAAAACCGATACGATTGCTCGAGAAAACATGAGAAGTGACTATTGAAAACATCTTCAAGATTGCTTAAGGCCATCAAACAGGTTTTAATGTTTTAATTTTACCTCATGAAACAATAATTTTTTAGGTCATGGTAACATTTGAGATTTCATTTTTTTCTCATAAATATTAACATTAATTTGCAACTTGTAAAGTGTATAGTTTTTTTCCCATATTTCTTAATAAAAATTTAAAAAACACACATTTAGGATGGTCATTTCAAAATATGTTGTACAGCAAGGGCAGCGAGTAAGGAAAAGTATGGTACATAGTTATAAATTTTGTGTACAAAATAGTATATATCCAACAGATAGAAATAGTTTTCACTCAGTTTCGAGTTTTTTAAAATGTCTCTTTTACCAATACTTGCACACATAAGAAAAAAAAAATAACTATTTACAGTATTGAAGAAAATATTTGAATTGAAACGAGTCACATAAAAAGATTCCTTAAGTGAGTAACCATGTGACTTTTCAAGTGTGACTTTTGAGTAAAGCACTTGTAGCAAGTGGTACATTGGAAGGGTTTTTCTCCAGTATGAACTCTGATATGCCTGGTTAAATCTTTCTTTAAAACAGTACTATAGTTGCAATAAGAGCATTGAAATATCTTGAATCCTTTTTTGGAAAATGCTGCAAAAAATGAAACTAAAGTTACAACAAAGTACTAAACTACATGAAGGTTTAGATAGGTAAAATATTAGACAATTAAATTTTTAGAAAATCATGTATCAATCATTAAAGCCTGTTCAAAGCTAAAAGTTAATAAAATTTTATTGAAATAGTGCAAATTTATTGAACAGTGCACACACATGAGGCAAAATTAATTTATAAGATATTTTTTTTAACAAATATTTTGAGCCATCATAATATTTTTTAAATAACATCAAATCTTTTTTTATTAAGTTAAAACATAGTTATTTCAAAGCCATTATAACACTACTGCTGTTTGTCCACTGCTAATATATACTAATATTTGCATTCATATAAAGAGAAATTTTTTGAACTTTAATATTCTTAAGAATTATACTGAATAATTGAGAATAATTAGAAAGAATAATTTTAGGTGCCTAAAGCTGCGGGCTTTTTATCACCAAAAACCAAATTTGTTATTTAATCAGAAAGTGGAGTGAAGCATAACGTTTAGTATAATTCTGTGCAGGAACTCGATCTTCAGACGGTTAATTATTGAATTATACTACGGTTAACTTTTTTTTAAATTCGTGTTTGGATGTAAATTTGAGTTTCTATATTTAAAAACTGAATTACTGGACTCATTAAAAGACAATAATTTTTCGTATGTTATATTAAATTATACCTTGCATGAAAATTTTGATTTCAAAATTTCATTTGAAAATAGGGAATGAAAGGTGTTATGATGAGTAATGTAAAAAACTTTTAAATCAAAGATGCAGATTAAAGATTTATTAAAAACTATATAACATTTTACTGTTTAAGAGATTTTAGTCTCTAAAAAAACTTAGGAAAAAGACTTTTGACATGATATTATACAATTTCACAGCTTAATTTTTCCTCAAAAGTAAAAACTTCCAATTTTGAACTACAACTGTGAGATTCTACTTTTTTTCAGCAAAAAATTGGATGATCTTCATTTTTTTTCCTTTTCAAAAAAATAAAAAAAATTTTAAAGGGAGAGAGCTGCAGAATTTTAAATGAAAACTCCATTGCTCTACACATGGTTAAACCTTTCAGACTTTAAAAAGCAACAATTTCAATTTTACAAAAAATTGTTTTTACACTATATTAAAAAAAAATTTCTAAACAAACATTCAGAAACAATAAACAAGGTTAATAAAACAATTGCAACTAGAAAAAATAATAAACATTTATTGGACCTTACTCACCACACTTCTATTTCAACATTACAGTGACTAACCAATACACATACTTAAATTTAAAAAAAAGTTTGAATAAATGAAATCCTCATTTAAAATTATCATGACAGTAATGCTGCATTAATTAATGTTTCTTGGTCTCAGTTGACCTCCAGTTTAAAACAGATTTGAAAGAAATGATGAGATTCCATTATTACTAACCACAATCTTTTCATTGATTTCAACATTAACAAAGTATTCCTTATATATATTAAGTACAGATGCAGAAAAAAACTTGGACAAAGAACTTTTAATATAGTTTTATAGAAAATAAATAAATTAACAAAATATAACAAATAGTAAGAATAACTTTTACTAATAAATGAATTTAATTAGTTTCAACATGGTCGTAGTTTGCTGTGATGCAGAGGAGAAATGAAATTTTCAGCAACGGGCAGCAAGTATTCAGCCTTTAGTTCTCCCATTGCCGTCAAAGCTATTGCTTTAGAGGGTCCAAACTTTTCTGAGGTTTAGATCAAGCCCTAGACACCAAAATACACCATAATCCACGGGATTGAAATCTGGTGAGTAAGGTGGCCATCTTTCAGATGATATCGGGTTTAAAAAATGCACCTTGCACCATTCTTGTGAGCTGGTGCAGACTTGCTGCAAGGTCCACTTTACATTGCCAAAGTGCTTGTTGGTTCACAGAAGTACAACAGCTTTTAGAATATCCCACTGGCACACTTTTTGAATTATTTTAATGTCCTCACCCACAAAAACCAGGTGTATTGCCACTTCCATTAACTTTTCCCAGACCATGACTGACTTTGGATTTTTAAGCTCAACAATTGTAGAGGTGTTTGGAGTGTCTGTCTACAGGCGAGCACGTATCATTCTGAGAGTTATCAGCTTGTTGGACGGAAAAGAGCTTCTCATCAGCGAAAAGGAATCTGTTCCATTGCTGACTTAAAGTCTATTGCTGAAAACTGCAATACCTGTTTGGGCCTCTGCATTGTGGCATTTTGAACCAAAACCAATTAAATTTATTTATTAGTAAAAGTCTACTTTTATTATTTGTTAATTATTTTTTTCAGTTGAAATTTTCTAAAATACCCAATCTATTTAATTATACCAAAAAAAAGTTCATAACAATTATTGATTAACTCTAAGGGAAACAAGATACAAATATACAAATGTGCATACAAAGTAACTATGCACAACTAGCAACAATGAGGTCGCTTTTTCAACATAAACTATGAGATAAGGTATACCTTAAAGTTTTTGAGGAAACCAAAGTACAAATATCGGAACAAATTAACTTTACAGTACAAAAGTCAAGAATATAGTATAGAAGGGAGACACAATGACTTTTCCCTTACAAAACATGGCAATAAAAAAAAAACTTGGACAATTCGATTAAGTATCGTAAAAATTCCTTATATAGAGTCTTATTATTTATACAATTTACATATGTACAGTTTTTACAAGTATGAACAATGCGCAATAATGAGTCTATAAAGAAAACAATAAAAAGATGAAAAATATATGTCTGATTAGTGTGTGTACTAGATACTGGGATTTTCTTTTTTACATCACTGATATGGGAAATAAAAGGGGACCAAGCTGAAAAGGCATCATAAGCAGGTAAACATTATTGGTAGGTGACGTTAAATCTGAGTTCAACTATATTAACAAAATAAAAAAGTAACTAAAATCCAATGTTCTGAAACGGAGAACTAAATTTATATAAGTCTATTTGTTACTAAATAAAAAAGTCTATTTGCACAACATTCGAAAAAAATATAAAAACACTAGCAATTTTGTGAATAATGCTTGCGATTAACATAAATATTATGAATATATGTGTTTCATGTGAATAAGCATTTTGTGTCTCAACATAACCGATTTCTGAGTGGAACACTTATTGCAAGCATCACACGAAAAAGGTCTTTCACCAGTGTGTGTTCTCATGTGACGCGTTACATTTGACTTGACCATTGCAGTGTAGTTGCAAACAGTGCATTGATGTATCCTAGTTTCCTTCAACAGTGCTGAAATATTAAAATGACAAATGTACAAAAAAACGCTTATTACATGCTTCATCACCAAACTAGTAAATACAAAAATACTTTATTTAAAAAAAAAAAAAAAATTTTGATTTAAAAATTGAAAACTAGCATTTTCTTTAGAAAAAGAGTCAGAACCAAGCAATAAACACAGAGCAGCGGTACATTGCAGAAATCTGCCTTAGTGATGATGTTAAAAAGTGGCAGTTGTTTAGATTTATCAAATAATTGATTGTTAAATATTTTTCTTTAAAAAAATTATAAACAGTAGACTTATTCCATTGAAATAATGATCACTTTTTTTTAATTTTAGATGACATTAATATGCGTTTTTCAAAAGTCATGTTGGGTAACTAGTTTTTACAAGCATCTAGCTGCCAACATGGATGAGAAAAAATTTCAGTAGATTTTACGAAATATAAATTTGATAATAATTGTGGCATAATATACCGAATATTCTACACACAGGGAATTTTAGGGATTTTTGAAGTCGTTGAAATACAACAACATTATTACACTAATAAATTATAAAAAGTGGTTAGTAATATTTTCCATTTATCATTATTCATAATTTTGAACAGTAATAGTCATTTAATTCTTTAAAGACAGATGAATTCATTCTAATTTAATTCATTAATGATTTAAATAATTAAAGAAGGAAGTTCTGAATAAAAATGAACTAAAAATTTTAGAACCAAAAAAAAAAGAAGCTTTAAACTGATTACAATTCATTATGTATTAGTAATACTTATTTAAACATTCAAACAAGCAAAAAATTTGTGAAACTTTCATTAAAAAGGGATTTCTTAGGAAATTTACTCAATTTTAGGTGATTCTCAAAAATGTAAAAAACCCAGCAGACCAGGTAAAACTGGCAAAATCCAGTAATCTACTGTAAAACCCAATAGAGTTGGCAACTATGCAAGCTTATTCTTTTTCTAGTAACCTCAATAACTATGGTACATTGTAAGCAAAATTATATATAGCGGGACGTGCAAAAGAGAAAAATAATTACAATGAGAAAAAAACTCGTTACCAGTCACTTATGCATGTCTGGAAAATATGAGAACTTCCGCTTATAACAGCCCGTGTGTTAAACAACATCTGTAACTGATATTGATTACAAGTTAGAAAGTTTTTAATGAAATATAAATTTTAATAAACACAGAATGTCCAGTAATAGTTAAGTTTGTATTTATATAAATTAATTGAAGTCAACAAATACAAGTAAGTTTGATTAACTATTACTGGTTATTAAAGATGTTTCTGCAAATGAACCAGCATTACATGACTTCTCATAGAAGACTTTTGACTAAAACTCTTGTAACATGTGGTACATTGAAAAGGTTTTTCTCCAGTATGAGTTCTCATATGTCTGGCCAAATTAGCCCTTAAAGCAGTTGAGTAAGAACAAAGAGTGCACTGATGTTTTTTACCCGTCTTCAGAACTGCTGAAAAATAAAATCATGTATTAAAAAATATGTTTAAAACATAATTATCATTAAAAAGATATTTTGTAAAACAAAAGCCCTTATAAATGCACTAGCATTTAAAAAAGCTCAAACTCAGTTCCGGTAAGGCAGTTTTATTATAAAGTGAACAAAGTATTCCGGTCTATTAAAATGCCTGTAATGCACTAAATTAGTGAAACTACCTACCCATTTGAAAAAAATAATACAATTAGTTTTCAACTAATTAATGTTTCCAAATTAGAACATAAAATTTAAACTCTTAAAAAAGATACAAATTTTCTTTTCTTTACAAATTAAATTTTTATTTAATCTTTAAATAGACATTATGTATGAAACAACACATCTGGTAAATCTGTCACTGTTTAGAAACATCGTTAAACTTTCTCTCATCTAATTGCTAGTCATGCAATTTCTACTTTTGATTACATACAAGAATTGTTGCATTAGACAATGCAGTTAGATACTTTAAAAAAATATTTTCTGTTTTTAATCAAAGGATTTATACAATCATGTAAGACTTGAAGAATATTAGCAAAATAGAACACTAAGATCTACCAAGATTAAAACTTTTCTCAAAGCAATTCCCCTGTTAGAAGTGCTGATACCAACATAGTAGCAATAGGGCTACATTATGTAGTAAAAAATAATTTTATTCAGTAAAAAAGAACGATTTTATTTAGAAATTAAATTTTCCAGTTTTCTTGGGGCACCATACAAAATGACAAGATTAAAATTATGTAGAATGGATGTAGTATTTTATTACTTATTTAAAATTTTCTAAAACAAAATATATAATTTTGCAAATATGAATGGTGTTTTCAACACTAGGGTAAACTTACACTGTAAACTTTTTGCTGCTTATACTTTTGGGTTTCTGCTTCCTGTGTATTTTGAAGCCATTCGGCTCACGTGATTATTGTGTTTTCAGATTCTCTTGAATATTATTTCTTGTATAGGTGTATTTATTACCGGATTTATTATTTGTGTTAAAAAAATCGTCAATTGGAGACTTGTTATTTCAAAATGTAAGAATCATTATTTGAAAAACAGAATCGCTATTACATAAAACACTTCTTACTTTGTCAACAATATACTAACTTTGAAATTTAAAACTAAATGATAATTTGTAAAATAAACTTAATTTCACTGCTCGACCAATATGCTAATACTTTCGTGTGGTGGTGCACAGCTTGCAACAAGAGCAAACTGTAATAAATAAGTAAAAAGACGTCAAATCAGGACTACCAAAAAAGCAAGTATTTTCTAAACCTAGAAACCACATCACCTTTTTTAACAAAAAATCTATAAATAACTAAAAAAAATTTCACTTCAAACTCACAAGAATTACTTGATATCATTAGAATCTTATGATATACAGCAGATTTGAGCTTAGAAATTATAAGAATAAGCTGTAGTAAGCAGCTGTATACTTTCTAACCAGAAGTAGAGCAGGTAGAGCTCGAGAGTGTTGTTATCATTTATATTGAAAACACCATCCATAGGGAAATAATATTTAGATTTTTTTATGAAAGTTAAACAAGAACAAAAGATGAAGATTTATACAATAGATCAATTTAAAAACAACTGACAAGTCTGTACAAAAATAAACTTAAGACTTTCAAAAAGGTCAAAAACATTTATCATTTGCAACACACCATAGGAAAAATTTCTCTACAATATATTTTTCATTTCACACTAAAATTTTAATTTTCTTTAAAAAGTAAACTACAGTTAAAAAAGTTTTTAAACAAATACATCAGTATAAAAAAATGCTTTATATTGATTTAAGAAACTAAAAGAATGCTTTAAAATGCAAAATTTAAACAATTTTTATTTCTATAAAGTAACAAAAAACAAGGCTGTTTAGATACAAGTTTCAATACTTAAATTTAACCAGATAAAAAAAAATTTGCGCACTTCCAGATTTCATCAGGTCAAAAAATTTAAATAAATAATGTTCCTCTAATTTTGCTCGATTTTTAAAAATTTTTTATTCCACTTTAAGATATATCTAGTTCGTTCAACATCGCTACAAAATGAGAAAAACTAATAGATAAAAATCACAAAATATATTTCACTATAAAGCATATGCTCAATTAATCATATGTAAGTTATCTGGTTGTAAGACAATCATGCTTGACTTTTGCATGTAAAAAAATTAATTTTAGAAAAAAATTAATTTAATTTTTATCTAAAATTAACTTAATTAGCATTGAATTCTTTCTGTTATGAAGTATACATACTCAGTAATTAAAGGATTATTTATTAGCAAAATATGTACCAGAAAACTCACTCATTATCTCATGAATTCAATTATCACTCAGAGAAACATTAACTAAAATTACACGACGATTAACTTGATAACCTCACAATAAACACTTTTTCTTTGTTACGGAAAAGGACAATCATTTACTCTTAGAATCATCTTTTATAGAAGAGTATTGCATATAGTATAATATTGCAGAGGAAACAACA